GGCATCAACAGGTACCGGGACGCATCAACAGATACCGGGACGCATCAACAGGTACCGGGACGCATCAACAGGTACCGGAACGCGGTAACAGGTACCGGAACGCGGTAGCAGGTGCCGGGACGCATCAACAGGTACCGGGACGCATCAACAGGTACCGGGGGGCCGACAACAGACCGAACAAGACACCGAGGCAAGTATAACAGAAATCATCGTATATAATAATTATATAAGATACCAGAGAGTTCATCTTTTTGACCCGACCTGCTTGATTAGCATTCAGGAATGTACCTTTTTTGGTGAGATTTTGAAGATCAATTAATTTTTGGGTCAATAGCAGAGCAAAATTAGTCTCTAGAAATGGCTGCTATCATCACTGATGATGGAAGTGATATACAGATGATATACAGGTGATATAAAACAACACTGGCCCATTAAAAAAGGCAAGTATAACTGAACGAATTACACAAAAGTCTAAAAACAAATGGAGTCTAAAAACAAGTCTAAAAACAAAGTCTCTAGAAATGGCTGCTATCATCACTGATGATGGAAGTGATATACAGATGACATACAGGTGATATAAAACAACACTGGCCCATTAAAAAAGGCAAGTACAACTGAACGAATTACACAAAAGTCTAAAAACAAACCAAAACAATAACACAGAGTTAACCTTTTTGATCAACGCTCAAAAAGTGCCTCTGGTGATATTTCAAAAGAAATTAATATTTCTATGGAAATCACAGCACGAACTAGCCTAAAAGCAGGGAAGAGGAGTTGGGGGTGAGGGAAGCAGCCACAAGTTTAAGAGACTCAACTCTTAAGGGGCCATTAGAGCAGTTTATTAAAAATGGTTCAATGTCAACCAATATTTGTTTGGTATATATAAGATATACATATCCAAGGAGGAGTATATAACAGATTTAATAACACAAACTTCATCTCTTTGATGCAAACTGCTTAACTAGCGTTTAGAATAGTACCTTTGATGAGATTGATGAGAAAATTACAGTTTTATATGAAAATGATTACAAAATTAGGCGCTAGAAGTAGCTAATAGATGATGAAAGTGATGAAAGTTGCAGAGTATCAACACAGACACTGCACCATGACTCAGGGGCATGACACAGGGGCATGACACAGGGGCAGGACACAGGGGCATGACACAGGGGCATGACACAGGGGCATGACACAGGGGCAGGACACATGGGGGACTGTATTCAAGAGTCTGAAAACAAAGATTTCGTAATTTTGACAACACATCTTTGAGGACCATTCAGAAAAGTACACTTGATGAGATTGAAAAGAAAATTGTCATTGTGAAAATCCCCATAAAATTTGATTCAGATTCAGAAATTTTATTCGTAACAACCTATATAAACATTTACATTCATGGCTGGACTAAACAGGTGGCAGCAGTCTAAATCAGTCTTACTTTTAAGCATAAAGTGTGAAACATTTAGCTTATAATCTAAAGGACGATATTTATTGGAAAGACAAAGTGTAATTTACAATTTGAGGAGCAAGATAGATCTATAAGCAAAATTTATATGACGATATTAGGATGATAAGAAGACAATTTAAAGATCTTATGGAAACTAATCATACTATGCAGCTATATAAATTGTTCACACCCTCAGAATTCTACATCATCAGATTCCGAGACTATCCTGGGTCAAAATCACCCACAAAACCCACCTATTGCAACAGTTAACTATTGCTGAGTCCTTAGAATCACCGCCACGCCTGGCCCCCCCCCCACAATCCAGCTTGCAAGTGAATAAAATAGTGCAAAAAACCTTGTCATCCAAGAGTATCTTGCCATAAAAGTCAGTACACATCATCGAATGGGTCAAAGAAGCACAAGCACAAAATATCTTCCTAGCACCACTGATCACTAAAAAAATACCAACTCTAGAAAAGTATATGAAAAGACTGGCAACACTCAGAGCCCTTCACACTTAAAGCTCTTCAAAGCGTTATATGACAAAGAGTGTTGGGAAGACGGGACACCACGAGCGTAGCTCTCATTCTGTAACTACACTTAGGTAATTACAACATTAAACTAAACATTCACACCTGAGACACCAGAAATACAATCTATAGCAACACTAACTACCTACAATACCTACAATAACAATAAACACATATAACTGGAAAAGGTACAGTTGCACTTACATGTGCAGAGATAGATGAATAGAGATGAATAGATAATAGGGGTGATAGGAATAGAGGATAGATGAATTGAGATAGACCCAATAGATGACTGCATCTTGCCCCTCCAGACTTCACCCAGACACTGACAGGTTTAAACTACAACTCAGGCTCACTCACTTCTTTTTCTGCCAAATCTAAATAGCTCTCATTTAGGCCAGTTTATATCATAAACATATCAGGTACACAACTTCATTAAATAGTAACCAGCTATTAATTACATTCATAAGCAATAATGTCAACACAAAACCTTCTGACATTACCAACTAATTATCTGAATATTAGAACATATTAATACTCATCCTTACATCCTAACAGAAATAACGATGACTGTTAGGATGACTCGGAAGATATACAGCGAGAGAAGTATTATATTGTAGGACAATAATAAAACTGAAAAATATCAATAAAAAAAGGAACAGATACCCGAAAATACAAAAATAAACAGAAACGTAATACCAGAATGACGTACCATCCTGGAATATGGAACAGCTAAAATTATTCTAAAACTAAGAAGAAACAAAACTAAGAAAGCCACTAGATTGGAAAGGAAGGAGCCAAACGGAATCGCTGGGTATAAGACACAACAGGAAACAATGGGTATAAATTGGATAAGTTTAGATTTAGGAAAGACTTGGGTAAATACTGGTTCGGTAACAGGGTTGTTGATTTGTGGAACCAATTACCGCGTAACGTGGTGAAGGTGGGGTCCCTCGATTGTTTCAAGCGCGGGTTGGACATGTATATGAGTGGGATTGGGTGGTTATAGATAGGAGCTGCCTTGTATGGGCCAATAGGCCTTCTGCAGTTACCTTTATTCTTATGTTTTTATAATGACTAGAAAATATAGATCAGAACTACACAAAACTTTAAAATCGAGAAAGGTAACTGGAAGATTGTTGAATTGACTGGGAGAATACCCACCCATCAGGACACAAAGGGAAGGTGTGAAATCAAGAGATCAGACTGGAGACTTTTCCTTTGGTTTACAAAAGGAATAAAATCCAGACAAGCGAAGTGGGAATGAACTAAACGGGGAGGTAGATGACCCTCATTTAATACATATTTTTAAGTGTAGATATGATCAAAAGTTAAGAAACGAGAGCTATTGCATCAGCCGACGAGCGTCTGAAAACCAGGGCGCAAGAGCTAAACTCTCCCTGCAAGCACATCTAGGTGAGTACACGCGAGTCAGTACACGCACACACGCGCGCGCACACGCGGTTTAATCCATATTATCGCTCAAGTGGGATTTGAACTCAATTCTGTTCCATTATATGATTATATAAATATATCAAATATATATATGTATGAAAAACCTTTTTGAGAGGCAAATCATCTTTATGTGGAGGAAGGTGTATGTGTATGATATTCTGTGAGCCACATATGTGGGGGATGATATGGAAGGCGTGTATGTGTATAATGTTCTGTGAGTCACATATGTGGAGGATCTGGAAGGTGCGTGTATATCTAAGTCACATCGGTGAGTTAGGATGCGGATATGTATTTTATTCGCTTCTCTTTCACATTTGTTTTTTGCTCCTTTACCACTTTCTCTCCTTCTTTCTCTTCACATTCTTTTCCATTCATACCTTTTTTTCACGTTGTACTTCCCCTTATATTTAATACTCTTATTCCTTACCTATCATGCTTTTGCTTTCTTTCTGTCTCTTCCTTCTCTTTTCCTCCATCTCTTTCTCTCTCTCTCTCTCTCTCTGTCCCCTCTTCTCACATTACACCTCTACTCCTCATAGCCTCTTCCTCTTTTTCCTTCTATTTTCCATATTTTTTCTCTTCTCTCTCACTCGTCTCTATTCTTCCGGCCCTTTCTCTCCATACTTCTCTAAATCCACTCTCTCTCTCTCTCTCTAGATTCGCATCCTCTTTCTTTCCTCCTCCACTCTCCCTCCACCTCCTCTCTCCCAATCTCACCCCATCACCAAGTAAGTCTCCCATACCAAAACAATATTATAGTATTATCAAATGAACACCAAATTACGTTTTGCAAAAAATAGGCAACTAATAATTTAGCTCTCTATCGCAACACCTCAAACTTTGCAATACCGCTCTCCTGCTCCGCAACACCCGTCATCTGCCCTCCACTACTCCTCTGACATTCACTAATATCTTTGATCCACTCACAACACCTGTAATACTTCTAATACCTCTCAAATATCCTACCCTCTAATACCCCTCCCTGGTCAACCAATACAGCTCTCCCACCCACTCCCTTACCACTTTGGGGTGGACGGTAGAGCGGAGGTCTCACTTCATGCAGGTCGGCGTTCAATCCTCGGCCGTCCAAGTGCTTAGGCACCATTCCTTTCCCCCCCGTCCTATCCCAAATCTTTATCCTGATGCCTTCCAAATGCTATATAGTCGAAATGGCTAGGCGTTTTCTCTCTTCCCTTCTCCCTCCCTCCAACACCCCTCTCCCACCCCTCCAACACCGCTCGATCACACACCAACGAGCAGACACACTATTTCCAGCAGGCGGAAGAGAGGTGAAACTTTCCTTGACTTACCTTAGCAGGGTGGAAGTCGGGTCATTAACCTCAAGGCAACTTTACCAGAGAGGCAACAAAAGCAACTTGTGAAGCGTGAGAGTCGGGGAAGGTTTCATTTACAGACCTTCCCTACCAGACGCTCCAGTGCCTCTCTAGCTCCTGGGCTCGGCTCTCTTTATTATAATTATTGGGAAGAATTGATTCGTCATTTTAGTGTTCAGTACAGTTTGTCGGCACTGTACTGATCTTTTGATTGAGTGGATGATGGAACTCGTTCAGTTGTCAGTGACAGTGAGGGGCACAGGTGTCATAGACACATGTCATGGCACAGGTGTCATAGACACATGTCATGGCACAGGTGTCATAGACAAATGTCATGGCACAGGTGTCATAGACACATGTCATGGCACAGGTGTCATAGACACATGTCATGGCACAGGTGTCATAGACACATGTCATGGCACAGGTGTCATAGACACATGTCATGACACAGGTGTCATAGACACATGTCATGGCACAGGTGTCATAGACACATGTCATGGCACAGGTGTCATAGACACATGTCATGGCACAGGTGTCATAGACACATGTCATGGCACAGGTGTCATAGACACATGTCATGGCACAGGTGTCATAGACACATGTCATGGCACAGGTGTCATAGACACATGTCATGGCACAGGTGTCATAGACACAATTAGAGAAAACTGTTTGAACATCAGTGGGTCCACGGCTGTTCAATATTCTCCCGGCATGCACAAGAATTATTTCCGGAACAACAGCGTATAGACGTCTTCGAGTAAAAATTGAACACTCTTCTGCATGAAGTGCCGGACTAATACCGGGCTGTAGTGCATATGTGCGTCGCTCCAAGCAACAGCCTGTTGGACCAAGCTCTCACATGTCAAGCCTGGACCCGGGAAAGTCTTTTAGAGTAGAAGGTCTCTGTATAGGTACACCTATTTGTATCTATTCTGCAGGGAGAAAAAGGTGAATACACACAGATGTTACAAGAACAGAGAGCTACAAGAACAGGTCTTCAGCCCTGAACGATAAAGATGGTAGCATGAGTTTGGATCTATTCCTATCAAATTCGTTATATGGAAATGTATTTATTATACGTGTGTTTAATCTGAGCCACACACAAACACATGTTTACATGTGTATGTGTGCTAGCCAAACGATATTCACTACACAGGTGGGTACAACTAGGTGAGTACATGTAGATGAGTATGAACACACACTCATATAAAGTCATTTCACACACACACACACACACACACACACACACACACACACACACACACACACACACACACACACACACACACACACATATATATATATATATATATATATATAATATATATATATATATATATATATATATGTCGTACCTAGTAGCCAGAACGCACTTCTCAGCCTACTGTGCAAGGCCGATTTGCCTAATAAGCCAAGTTTTCCTGAATTAATATATTTCTCTAATTTTTTTCTTATGAAATGATAAAGTTACCCATTTCATTATGTATGAGGTCAATTTTTTTAATTGGAGTTAAAATTAACATAGATATATGACCGAACCTAACCCAACCCTACCTAACCTAACCTAACCTATCTTTATAGGTTAGGTTAGGTTAGGTAGCCGAACAAGTTAGGTTAGGTTAGGTTAGGTAGGTTAGGTAGTCGAAAAAACAATTAATTCATGAAATCTTGACTTATTAGGCAAATCGGGCCGTGCATAGTAGGCTGAGAAGTACGTTCTGGCTACAAGGTACGACATATATATATATATATATATATATATATATATATATATTATATATATATATATATATATATATATATATATATATATATATGCAATTGACGATCACAAAACACTGATCATTTTATGCGGAAAATCCAC